CCCAAAATATAATCCACTCTGAAACTCTCATTATGTACTCCTACGATAAACATAATGCCCTAAAATATAATACTTTTAAACTATTCTCTCCCCCATAGACTTCTTTAAAGTGCGAATGGGCAAGCAAGCGTTTCAGTTTCAAGACTAAAGTATGCTTGATCCAAGCCATAGTACTTTCTGCATGTTAAAGCTGGATGGTGAATGAAGAACATCAAAGAAGAACCGATGCTGAGTTATGATAGAGAATTAAGATGATGACAGTGGTGACTATCTATGATGCACACCATAGACTGGTAAATCGGTAAACAAATCTGTGGTAGAAGAAGTGAAGCCAGGATGATCCTCAGAGGTCAGGATGGTGAAACTTCATCTCACATATTTTTGTGCATGTTGGCAGGACTTGGCCAGTCCTCGGAAAAGACATCATGCGTAGCAAAGTAGAGGATGAGCAACAATCCTCAGTGAAATGAATTGACACAGTGACTGTAAAAGATGAACTTGAACATGGCAGTAATCTTGAGACCTGTAGAAGATTGTGCAGGTTTTTAATCAGTTTTTCTTAGCGTCGCTATGAAATGGAATTGACTCAAAGGCACCTAACAACATATTTAGCAGGTCTTTCTGAGAAAATAGCCTTGGGTCTAAATTGGAGGTAAAAACATCTCATGTAGCTTAGAGATAAAGGAACTTTGATGGTCTTGTGAGTAAGGATTTGCTCTTTCAACCCAAAGGCAGGCAGTTCAAAGCCACCAACAACTTCTCGGAGAAAAGTAGGCAATCTCCTACTGTGTGATTTACAGCCTTCGAAAACTCAGTGAAGGGTCAATTATGGCTGGATAACACTTAACAGCAACAGATTAGAGATAATTAGAGTGACATTTGCTGACCTGTTCTAAACACTGAAAGCATGGGAGGAATTACAAACCTTACTCCCATTCCTAGCTTAGGGGGATGCCCCATAACAGTTCGGTCTTGAGATCATTCAACAGGCTCATATCTGTTTCTCCCACAGATACTATGACAAGAAGTATGAAGTGTTCCTGAAGTTGGTTGAGCACCAGAAGGAGTATGCAGCGATCATGAAGGCAGACTGAGGGTCCTGGGGCTGCTGGTGCTTGCAGGTTCTGTGCCATGGCCATTTGATCCTTTGTACAAGAGTCTTTGCATATCCTTCCATAACTCACACATTGCCTTTTAATAAAAAGACAGAGACATGCATAACCAGAACTAGAGTCTTCCCTTTCATAAGACCACCATATGGAATTGGCATTTTCTCATAGTATCCATCTTGCTAGCTCACAGAGACTCACAGGATCTCATTTGGGATTGAACTTGGAAACCATTCAGTCCAGGAGGAACATGTTAACTGATTCAATGTCAACCATTAAATTAAAAATGTACATTGCTTTAGGTGATTTTTGTTAGGTGCCCTGGAGTCTGAACCAATTCCCAGTTGACCCTCCAGTGGGTTTGCAGAAGCTATAAATTGCACGGAGGAGATTGCACATCTGATAGGTGCAAACTGGCCTCATCTGGGTTGGCTGTCCAACTCCTTAACATATTTCATTTTTATTCTACATTTGGCTAAATGTTTATTATTAGCCTTTCATTTGAAAACAATTTCAATAGGAAATTTAGAACTGGCATAATACAGAACACCAACTCTTTACCCAAGGATTACCTTTTAACATTTTACCTCATTTTCATTTACTCCCCTTGTATTTTTGGTCTTTACGTACTCACACTTGTTTTCCTGAACCACTTAAGAGTGTCAGTAAATTTAACTTTTATATGGCACTGTAAACTGCCAGGCATATTCAAATCTCATCATATTAACTGAATCTTTTATGACATTCCCCCACCCCTAATATAGGGTCCCGTAAAAGATCAGCTATGACGTTTAAGTGCAAAATCATCATCAGTAAGAATCATCCGTGGATCCAAGGGGAATTTTGATGAGCAGGACACAGGCTTGGCCTTAAAGTATCCCCCACATATATAACAAGAAAATATGTTAATGCTACAGGGAAGAAACTGGACAGACTGTTAATTGGATGAGAAGAAAAACTCAGATTAGTAGATTGGCATGTCCTCCTTCTAGATGTAACGACAGCCTGAGAACACAACATCACATATGTAAGATTCTGAAAGAGATTAAATAACCAGAATATAATCATAAAAGAACCTCAGACAAACCTAAAATGAGGAGCATTCTATTTTCTTAATGGCCTATATTTTTCAAAACTGTCTGTGTCACACAGACAGGAAAGACTGTAAAGTTGCCACATTAAAGAAAATGAAAGAAATATGATGGTTGAAAGCTTTTTCTTTTTTTTAGGGCTAAAAGCTTTTGATACAGACAAGTATTGGAAAAAGTAATTGTTTTAGTTGACACCACACACATGTGTCCATTCAATCACAATTTCAGACCCAACAGTATCTGTTGGTGTCAATTCTAGAGCAGACATAGCCCAGGCAAGTTTGGGGAGAGGCATGCTAGTTCTTTAGCAACCTAAGTCAACAAGTAGAGAAAAGAGTGATACAATTGAGTCAACAGACACGCCTTGGAGTACTTATTGGTTGCTAGGCCCTAAACTCAGCACTGGTGAGGGGCTGTTGTTGTTATGTCCCATTGAGTCACTTGTGTCTCATAGTGATCCTGTGTACAACAGCTCTGAACACTGCTCTTTCTTGAGGTAACTTCATTGTCCCTGACTCACTTATCCCCATTTGTTGGGGAATGCTGGAGAGGAAGGGAGGGCGACTGGCCAGGACAGATCGCCTAAGCTCCGGATCAGTGCAAGCCTCCCAACAGCCTTTAATTCAGGGTGTTTAGCTGTACCAGCTTGAGAAAGCTCACCACCTGGAAAGATGCTGCCACATCTGTTGAGCTGGGAGTAGTCCGCATGAGGCTGAGGTTCTCCTATCCAATCTGCATGTCCCACATCTGTAAGCCCACCCTATCCCATCTTCCTGTTTACTTGCTCGTATATAAGTGCACTGCAGCCTCCAGTAGAGTTGAGCTGGATTGACTCTCTGAATGGCTCCTGGAGTTGTGTGTCTCCACTGTGCTTACCCCCATTCAGGGTGTTGCTGTTTGTTGCCAGCAAACGGACTGCAACACCCATTACCTCAGTCACTGAGTCAATCCATCTCATCCAGGGTCTTCCTCTTGCATTTTTCCTCCACCCTTCCAAGAATGATTCACTCTCCAAGGACAGGTCCCTCCTGGCAACATGTCATAAGTATGTCAGCTTCAAATCCTTGCTTCCAAGGAGTAGCCTTGCTCTGCCCCCTCTAGGACAGACCTGTTTCTTCTCCTAGCAGTCCATGGTATGTTCAATACTCATCTCCAGCACCACAGCTCACAGGCATCAACTCTTCTATCATCCTTAGTCAAGAAGACCTCTGCCTTTATGGAAATCATTATCTAATGGAGAATGGAAACCATAAACACTTCACAGCACATGGTGAGAAGCGCTTTGGTAAAGGACTGCGACTGCTGCCTCAGAAAAGGATAGAGGTGTGGAGAGTCAGCATTTGAGCTGAAAACCAATGCATGTTATGTTTAGAATCTTGACATCCTTCCTGTTACTGATGTTAGGTGCTATGTAGTAGCTAGCTCCAGCTCAAAGAGACCCTATGTTAAACAGAGTGAAACAATGTCTAAACATATACCATCTTCACAATCTCTGCTGTGTTTAGTCAAACCTATTCTTGCAGGTACTATGTCAATCCATCTCTCAGACCCTCTACCTCACCAAGCATGACGTTCTCCTCCAGGGACTATCTCCTTCTGATAACCTGCCCAAAGTATGTGAGATTAAACTCACCTATCCTCGTCTCCAGGAAGTATCCTGGCTGCATGACTTTCGTGACATATTTGAGTTTGATTTTTTGTTTTACAGTTCATAGTATTGTCAGTATTCTTAGCCAACTCCACGATTCAAAGGCATCAATTCTTTACTCTTCCTTACTCTTTTTTCCTCTACTAGTTTATTTACAAAATTCTAATACAAATTTGAACAAATTCTTTCAATTTCCCTCACCCCGCCACCCATCAAATTGTACAATCCAATGATTAATCAATCCCCTCTTCACCCTGCACATCCACATCCCTCTGCTTCCAGCCTCTCCCACCCCTCCTGGATCCTTATACTCCTTCTACAATAAGGGTCTAATACAAAATTTATCCTTGTGGGACTAAGTTCACTCAGCATAATGCTCTCCAGTCCCTCCCAAGTTAGGTAATAATTTACAAAGTTATTGCTCCTGCGTACTGCATAGTATTCCATTGAGCGAATGTACCATAATTCCTCAATCCATTCGTTTGTGGTTGGATATTTGGGCTGCTTCCATGTTCTTGCGAAGGTGAATAATGCTGCTGTGAACATTGGTGTACAAATCTGTTTGTGCCTCAGTTCTCATATTCTCAGGGTATATTCCAAATAGTGGAATAGCTGGGTCATATTCTTTGATCAATTTCTAAATGAGTATGAGGCAACAGAGAATACCATGATTTGGGCCAGGTGCACCTTAGTCCTTAATGTTACATCTTTACTCTTTTGGCATTCTAGGCCTAACTTGACCTCTTAACATCTGTGTAACTTGTAAATGCAACTTTAACTTCTCTAAGCTTTAGTTTTCCTACTTGAGTAAATGAAGAGATGAATAATACATCTTCAGGACTGTAGTGAGGATTAACTTAGATAACGTATGCAAAGCACTTCACTCATCTGCCTAGACCACACATACCTGTGTGTCACAGGGCCTGATGCCGAGCAGATGTTCAGAATAGCACAGTGGCAGCAAACAGGATGACAGCCCCTCATTACTAAGGCCAACTTTACAGTCATATTCTACAATATTCAAAGTTTGTGGAGATGTTGTGCATGACCCAGGGGGAAGATGGATATAGATGTTCACTCCAGCAGGCCTCACAGTAGGAGGAAGTCTCAGTCAGATGTTACTAGACCACTCCCAGGTATTGAGCTGGGGATGGGAGAGATTCATGGAGTTGGAGTCAGCACTTAAGAGGAGACTCAGTATAGCAGCAGATCAAGACTAATACTAATCCGCCGACTCCAGCTGCTAAAAATTATCAGTGGTGACTCAAAAAGCAAGACAGGCTGAAGCCCGCTAATGCAAAGTGGTGGTGGACGCAGTAGCTGTGCATGGCTAGAAAAGGTAGGAAAAAGAATAATGACCAACTACTGCCAGGTGTGTCCTGTAAGCTCGCTCTAATCTTCACTACAACACTGTGAGTGGGGCGTGCAGAACTGCTGCATATTAAGGCTGAGGCTCAGAAAAGATCGTTTACCCAGAGTCATTAAATAGTGATAAAGACAAAATTCCAATACAGATCTGTCTGTGTTAAAGCTTGAGTGCCATTCCCTTGTAGCACCTGACAAGACGACTTGTCCCCATCACTTGCGATTTCACTTCCCTGTCCATGAGGAACGATACTAGTCCTGGGTGCTGGTCTTCTCAAGAAATTCATCAAGCCACACCTGATCTTGGATTTGAACCGTTTTCTAGAAGAAAACACCCACAGGAGAGGCAAGGACTGTAGGAATCTGAACCCTGGGATTTCTCCAGCCTCCCACTTAACAATGAGGAGCAGCCTGATCGAACAGGGAAGAGTCGGGAGATTGTAAACCAGACCCTTAACCTTTAAACCTTAGCCTGCCTCTCTCTTAATGGAGTAATCCTGCTTCCTACTCCTACCTTTGCTTGTGAGGATTCACTGAAAGAGCTGTATATAAAACCTCTTATACAGCACCCTGCATGCTGCTGTTGTTGTTGTTATGTGTCGTCGAGTCGCATGCGACTCATAGCGACCCTATGTACAACAGCCCTACACTCTGCTCTGCCCTGTGCCAATCACACTGTCTCTGACACACCTGATTACCCCAGTCACTGAATCTATCCACCTCATAGTGGACCTTCCCCTCCTGTGCTGTCCCTCCACCCTACCAAGCACGATGTCCCTCTCCAAGGACCGGTCCCTTCTTACAACATGTCCGAAGTATGTTAGGCAAAGCCTCAGAATTCTTGCCTCTAAGGAGCCACCCGGTTTAACCCTCTTGAGGAT